GCCCTCGGCCACAGCCCCGCGGCCCCCCGCCCGGGCGCGGATAACGGTGCCACTTCACCCCGCCGGGGCGCCCTGTCAGCCCTTCCGTCCCCCGCCGCGCCGAGAGCTGGCGCCGTCCTGGGGCGGACACTTCGGGGATCGACCCTCTTGGGAGCCCCTCGGTCCTTCCCCCACCTCCGCCCAAGTTCTGACCCTGGGGGAGGTTTCTTCGGGAGCAGACAGGTATTCCTGCTCCAGAGTTGGGGGTCTTCAAGGGGTGACCAGGCCTGTTGATCAGGGTGGAAGTGATCTCTCTGCAGGGGCTCTTCCTGCCAACCTGGGTGTGTGTGTGTGGGGGGGGGCTCAATGTGACCCGAGGGAGGACAGGGGAGCGTCTGCTGGACAGATGGCCTCCTGGCCTTGGATCAGCGTCTGTGAGGGGGAGGGGTCCATACGACCTTAGGTATGCCTGTTCCTGAGAACCCCAGGATTATGGGAGCTGCTCAGAGATTTTTAACTTTCTGTTTCTTTGAGTAGGCCAGAGGGGGCATTAAAAGTCCTGGATTGGAATAAATCCACAGGCCCACCCAGGGAAGCACGCCTGGCACCCAGGACTAGCCTAGAATAGGGCTTGGCAGTAGGAGAATGGGACTTGGGGGTAAGATGGTATTTGGCCTAGGGTTGGCCCACCTGTCTTCAGTTCTCTGTTCATACAGGGCCTCTAGGGTGCATCTGTTGGTGTGTACAGTGTGGCTGAGCATACAGGATGTGGACAGACATGCCTGGCCTGGTGGGTGCTTGCTGGGATTTCATGGGTCTGTTTCCTCAAACTCACAGGTACATTGCACAGTGAAAGAGAGGAGGAAGCACAGTGCTAGCACATGTATTTTGATCATTTTCCCAATGGTCATGGCTTTGATTCACTCAGTAAATTTTTACTGAGCACTTACTATGTGCTGGGCACTGGACTAGGTGCTGGGAGGATGGTGGTAAACCAGAAAGATACGTTTTGGCTTGAGCTCGTAGCCTAGTGGGAAAGCCCAATAATAAATAATCTGGAAATTTCGTTCCACACCAAATATTTGTCAACAAGTATGTGCCAGGCGTTGTTTTAGATGCTGTGAAGAAAGCAAGCAAAAATAACTGCCCTTGTGGAGATTTCAGTCTGTGTGTGTGTGTGTGTGTGTGTGTGTGTAAGACAGTAAAATAAAGTATATAGTGAAAAATGCAGCCTCTTAAAAGGGGCTAAATGCTAGGGAGAAAAAGAAGAGAGGGAAGGAGGATATGAGATATTGGGTGGGGGTTGAATTTACATTCAAGTGACCTGGGAAGGCCTTCTTAGAAGGTGTCTTTTGAATAAAACTTTGAAGGAAGTGGTAAACTAATCATTTCAAACTGTGCTGAGTTCGAGGAAGGAAAGTTGAGCAGAATGCTGAGAGTAATTGGCCTTGATTTGATTTGGGGGCTTCGGGAAGGCTTCCCTGAGGAAGTGACGTCTGGGCTAAGACCCGAAGGAGGGTTAAGAGTTAACCATGTGTGGAGCAGCACGGAGCTTGGCAAGTTGGAGGAAGTGAAAGAGGCCTGTGTGGCTGGAGGGGGAAAGGGAGAGGGGAGATAAGTCTGTAGAGAGGTGAGTTAGATCACAGGGGGCCTTGGGGACAGAATGCCTCCCTCCCCCACCTCTTCCTCAACTTTGGTTTGTATCCCCAGTGAAATTAGGAACCTTTGAAGGGTTTCAAGTGATTGACATGATGACATTTACATTTTAAAAGGTCTCTGGCCTGTTTGGGGAATGGACTTTGAGATAAGCAGGTAAGGCGAGGCTTTCTGTGTTGAGTGGCCTAACTACTTGATCTGCTTCGAAAAGCCTCAGAGCAGTCTGAGGGAGATCCTTTTCCTCAGAGTCTATTTTGTGCAGCTTTTAGGAAGGGAAAGAAAGACAAATTAGCATTTATGGAGTACCTGCTAGATGGAAGAATCAATTTGAGAGACTTCTGCAAACATCATATTTAACTTCGTCCTCTCTACAACTTAAGAGAAAGGGCTTGTCCTGCCCCTTTTACAGATACAAGCCCAGAGGGGATAGATGACGTATCCAAAACCACATTTGTAACCTAATCTGGATTCAAACCCAGGTCTCCCTGATCCCAGAGCCCACTGGCTTTCGAACCAAACTACTGGAGTTTGCATCTTGCTTCTGCCACTTGCTAACAGAATGATTTTGAGTTTAATTTCTTATGTGCCTCAGTTTCCTATTTGGAAAGGCCTCAAGCTTTTCCCAGCTTAAATGCAGATCGAAGTACCTATCTCATAGGGTTGGTAAATGCAGATAAAAGTACCTACCTCATAGGGCTGTTGTGCATGCCAGATTAACCAAGCCACATAGACGTTGTAGCACTTACGTCACATGTTAGTTGCTATTATTACTTAAATTTGTAAAACTTTTGACGTTGTAGCACTTACCTCAAATGTTAGTTGCCATTATTTTTTTTTTTTTTAAGATTTTATTTATTTATTTGAGACAGAGAGAATGAGAGAGATAGAGAGCACATGAGAGGGGGGAGGGTCAGAGGGAGAA